TTTCAGCTTTTAAAAGATTTAATTTTAGTTTTTCTTTGAGCTCTAAAATTGGTGATAAGGGAAGTTATTTATGAATTTATTAAAGTTTAAGAGAAGAGGTTATTAGGACACTAAAATAATCGTGGTAGTTACTAGAGAGAATTTCCCCACACTTAGATGTTTTAAAGTTTGTCTTGTAGGAACCTTGATTTAAACATTAAAAAAAGCTCTGTGCCAACTTCACAGTTTTTTTCCTTTTAAGCCAATAACTTCGTGCCTTTCTATTATTTCAGCGGCCGAGTCAGCGGGTTGTCAAGTTCTCCTCAGACTGCAAGAGGGTTACGATCACAGCTACGTGAGTTCATGCTTTGTTATGCACGAATGATTAACTTATTTTATTTTGTGCGTGGCAGTATTTTGTTACAACTTTTATTGAGGACCACATCAACCATCATGCAAAATATCTGCTCTAACAATAATATTCTAATAAAACTGCTTCGTTTATGACGTTATTTTAATGGCTATAATAAGCTTGTACTCCACACTCCTACATCACATTGGAACCACTTTTCAACGTCAGTGGCGAAAGGTAACTAGAGGCTTATCCACCATGCTTCAACTAATTTTTTTTGATCTTTCTTTATTTGTACGTCCACGGAAAACTCTGGATTGTACAATGTTTCATTATATGTCCCCGAGTTATTGAATATTTGTAACTCCTCAAAGGCTCAGCATTCTATTTAAATCTTTTTAAGTGGGTGGCTTCGTTCTCAGTTGTGTACATAAGGCGAGCAACATGATTAGGGTAATAACTCGTTCTTCGTTAACTTTCGCAACCTTTTATTGGCACTAGAGTATTATACTACGCGTAGCAATTATCTTCCCTATAATTTTTACATTGACTAAATTTTGTTCAGACATAACTCATCTATTAAAAGAGAGCAAGGAAAAGGAAGAACTAAAGCAAAGTTGACGAAAGATATTTGTGCGCCATAATCGGAAATGAGTGTCAAGCAGAAGGATACAAACAAAGTGGACGATTGGTGTTAGATCGATGACTACTGATAGACATCTTGACCTGTTTTCGAAGCTTAGCGAAGTCGTTGAAGAAAATCATATATCTGAACGCACTAAAACCGGCATGAAAGCAAAAGACCCACACTGAAGGGCTGGTGAAACCTATAAAATTGAGAACCACTAGTGTGGGACAAGCTCGTGTAGATATAGGGATTTGTTGCTTTATAAGAGGGGGAGGGATTTACTGTATTTTTTAGAAGCGCATTGAAAGACAATGAATTTATTAACGGGTTATAAAAAGATACCTACAAGCCTAAAAATATGCTGCGCGTCTGCCTAGTTGAAAAGAGATGGAAGAAAATAAAAGCTGTAAGGCTATTAAGAGGTCGGAGTTGCAAAATATTTAGATTTCGTGTGCCTTATTAGTGTAAACTTGTTACCTAAATTAGTTGCACTTAAAATTAGAACCAAAAAAAAGTTTCAGGGTTTTGTAGGCTTGCACCGGGCTACAAGCTGGGTACCGGTAAGATTATTCAAATTAAATAGGTTAGCTTCTATTAAATGTAGTTTTTTATGACCCAGATGAGGGGCGTGGATGTTTTGCTGAGAAGGAAAAATTACCAAAAATTCTTGTGTGCAATCGTTAAGTTACTAGAGAAGAAAGAAGTCGTCGATTATCGTTTGTAGACGAGGTTAAAAGGGCGGAAAGGCATTATAATAAGGATTCCAGAAGAATAATCTTGCCAGCTTTTGTTAACTTGTTAAAAAAATTTGTTTGGAATTTCTAACATTTGAAAAGATTTAATTGCCTCAACTCGTAAGCAGTGAGCAAAAGACAGACAATATGTCTGGAGAATATATCATTTATAAAAGAAACCAGGTTTTAGAAGCGTACTGATATTGGAACCAATTATTTTTGAGTCAAACAGAAAAATAATATGTTGATTGCTTAAGGGGAACAAAAAATAATAGATAAAAAAAAGAAACTAGTTATTAGAGATAATGCGAGAAGCTAATTAAAACAGATTATCAAAAAAGGCAAGTGACTAGAATTACCATATGTTAGTAGTGGTTGAAGACCCCTTTAAAAGATTCAAGCATTGAAGCTGTCCACAAAAAGTCTGATAAAAATGTGCCTATGTGCAGTCTGCATGAGAAGCTTCATTTTTTTGATAAGTTAACTCGTCTCAGAATTTCCCCACTCGAACATCAAATTTTATTTTGCCATTGAAAATAATTTTTTGCCCAGTCGTCTACAGTCCATAATAGTTTAGATTTCGCCCATTCATATATATTTTCCTTGTTTATGGCTAAAAGTGTTTTTTTTAGTCTTCCTGTAATAAAAAATACATCTCCATTAAAGATGTACACGGTATCTATGCCATACCTTTTAAAATTTTAGTCCAGATACCTATCCATTGTCTACAACATACGCGAGATAGTTTTAATATTGACTTTGTTCCGCTGTGCCATGATATCTCGTATTGTATGTCGTCGCCCTTTTTCACCCAATTTTGTGAGATCGTTGACTTTTGGATGAAACTAACTTAGGGCGGCCTAGACTTTTTTACCCATAACAACATCTCCGTTTTCAGACAGTTTGGAGCGTAGAAAACAATTGGTTTTGCAATATTCAAAGATTCAGCAACCTGACGAACGGTATTGCTTTGGCAATGCTGTCTGACTATTATTTTACGCACACCTGCACCTCAGATCATTTTTTTTATGACCAAAGTTCACGGTTATTAGAAACAAAATTATATATCGTTTAGGTTATAGTTGTTGTCATTTGTTGCAAAGTCCACTCCGTTCAAAAAAAATAAATGAGTTTTATACAATTTTGTTCCAACAATTAGTTGTCAACCTTTTTACAATGTAAAGATACAAATTCACATAAATAATAACAAATGGCGGAAATATTATGTTTATTCTGATTTATAACAATAATAAACGTACATTGTTAAATCTCCTCAAAAAACCGTGTGAAAAGTTAATTGAAGTTGTTTAGCAGCCTTCAACTAAAATAAATCGCTTGCCCCAACGTTTAGTTGTTTGGGCTCGTAAGATTGCAAAGTGCAACCTGTCAAGTTTAGGGCTGGGAGAGGGCGATCTAGCTCGGAAGTCAACAGGGGTAAAAACTGTGTAAATGCGTTTAAATTTTGCAGCTGAACTATTTTAGTCGTCTGCAGTGTTCAGTATGATGGAGAAGTTTTGCGTTACCCCACTACGGTGTTATTACTAGCCTCCGGGTTGGCTACTATGAAATAAAATAAGTTTAGGGAGTGAGGAGTAAAAATTTAATAGAATATAAAAAATGTAAGAAAGGGTTATTTAGACCATTTAAACGTGCGTTGATAATTATTTTACACTTTAATTTGATTTACAAACGATATTTCTTGGTGCTCATATAAATCAGAAAGAAAACCGAATTGTCAAGCTCTCCCACAGGATGATGGCGTACAAACAAGGTATAAGCATGTGTTGAGCCCCAATTCCAATTATACGACAATTTGTAAGGGCTTCCACCTGGCCTCTACTGCACTAATTAAAGCGTGTTAGTGGTTTAGGTTGGTAATGGTATCATCCTTCAATTCTACTAATGTTAAGAAGTCATGTATGTATTATAATATCTATTAAAAAGTATATGTTGTAGCTTAAAATCAATGTCTCTTTTTTCTTCGGAGAAGACTGCTAGTTGTTGGGACTTCAAGACTGAAGCCTCCAAATTGTATCATGACAATACCTGGGGTAAGCCTGAAACTAATTCTCGCGCACTGTTTGCACAGCTCCATCTTGAAATATTTCAAGCTGGTCAAATTATATTAATTTTATTTTTTTTTGAAGTTATGGCTCTTTGATTTAAGTGTAGGTTTATCTTGGAGTACAATTTTAAATAAAAAAGACTCATTTAAGAAAGCTTTTCGTGGCTGGAATTTTTGCGAAATTTCAAAGTACACAGAGGAAGACTTAAAAAGACTTATGGTTGATACAACAATTATTAGAAACGAGAGGAAGATAAGGGCCGTTATTAACAATGCTAAGTGTACACTTCTAATCGAGCAAACGGGTTACTAAATTGTATACCATAACTATATATATATTAATAACTTCTCTTGTTGCTCGTAAATGCAATAATTAAAGAGATTTAGACCTCTTTTGAATATAGAAGGCTTTGCCAACTTTATATGGAATATCGGCTTGAAATTAAGTACTAAAGAGCGAATAATTACAGGACTTTATCCGAAAACGCATATGAGAAGAGATTTTACCACTAAAACAGTACAAAGATTGTATGCAGATGGAGTACATCCTACCAAAAGCATAACTTTTGCAGTTAAAGCTTTAAGGAAGAAAGGATTTAAATTTATCGGGGAGACAATTGTACTAAACTTTTTTCAGGTATTTGTTTTAGACTACATCCCCACTCCCAACAGTTTTTTATTACACTTTATTACTTTTTTAGGCTTGTGGTATAGTAAACCATCATAAAAGAAACTGCCCTTATTTTTTAAAAAACGAGGAACTGTTTAAAAAAGCGGTTTTAGCTCTTAAACAAAAGCAAAAGTAAAGCAATAAAATGCCACCGCCTTACTAGACTAAAAACTAATAACTACGCGAGTATTATGTTAATAGCAGGTTTATAATAGCATGAGCAGTTCCAGCATGGATTACCCACAGACACGCTGGGCTCGCCCGCAGTCTTTGCGACTCAAACCGTTGCTTCATAGCCTTGACTTCTGGCTACCGTCTATACTGACGGAATGGTTCGTTATGTTAACCCTTGTAGGAGCACTCCTTTTTCGTATTGAGTTGTACAGATAACTAAGTAAGAACTTAACCAACATCTTTTATAAATAAGGTTGCTTTTAGATAAGTGATGGATGCTTAAACAATAAAGAAAACTCTGCGTGAACTAAAAATCAATTTTCTTATTTTTATTTACTTTAAGTTTATAACGACAATTGTTAAAAGAGTTTCGCAAAGAAGGAATTCAGGATTTCTACCTTTCCAAAATGCTTTAATATTAATTTTAACAAAACACTTTACAATCTTTTGGGGTTAGTTCAGTCCTTTTTTTTGCTGCTTTTGGAAACAAGTTTTGCAATTGGGCCTTCTGCAAAGTATTATAATGAAATTAAGCGGGTGATAAAAAAGACAGTACGGAATAGAACCCGCAAAGAGCGCCTGCCAGAGACAAAGACATGCCAATCCAATCCCGATAATAAGTAAGAGTCCCAATCGAAGTAGGAAGCTCATAGGAGGGGGAGGGGTGCCGCCCTCCCTTTGAAATCTACGCCAAATGGGATGGGAGGTGTTGGGGCGGTTGTATGGGCGCGATGCCATGTGCCACACATCGGTAAAGGCATTGGGGGGAAGCAGCGCCAGTAACACGGTGAGGATAAACAGAGCAAGCCAATTCGCTACAAGACCCTTGTTTTTCAGCACAAAAGTTCTAAACTGTCCTCCAAAACTAAAAATCAAAGCCGAAGTGATGAGATTTAAGTAAAAGGCGAGATAAAGCGCAGTTGCTTCCCCTGCCAGATAGATTTTGATAAAGTATACAACTAGTATAAAAGTGGACTTACAGTTATCGCTTAAAAACCACCAGTATTGAGATGTAGCCAGAGAGGAAGGCCAAGGCACAAAGTTCTTCGAGTGGGTCACAAACCAAAGTACGGCCAACAGTATAAGGAAATTGATAGCTATGACGCCAATCACTGAAACCAGTGTTTGCAGGCTTAGCAAACTGGAGGTGGGTCTCCTGCCTTTCAGTGTACTTTTGGGTCTACCCAACGTCATCGTGTACCCCAAAGTCAAAACGGCCACGGCGTCGGCAAATATGCAGCCCATAAGGCTCAAGAGCACTCCGTAAAAGAAGCAGAAGAGCTTCGTCATCGAAAATAACTGTCCGTAGCAAACCAGAAATTTATACACGCCAAACGACGTGTGCAGGGCAGCTCGGCCTTCTTTTACTAGTGCAACCACAGAAGAGATGGTTTTGGTCCTGAAAACGTTATTTTCGTTAAGTAACAAGCGAGCCTGAAAACAATTACGTAGAGGTGAAAGGGGAAACCAACGACGCCTCCGCGTCACCAAAGGCTATTCCCGCGTGAGCTGCTCGCAAGGCCCCGCAGTCGTTACCGCCGTCTCCACACATCCCGACTACCAGGCCTGCAGCGCGGTAGGCCTTCACTATGCACACTTTAGAGTCTATGCAAAGCATATTATTCGCACTAATTGATAAAATTAAGACGCAAGAAGAACCGGGAGGCATGCGAGCGTAGATCCTAATGTGGAAGACCAGCAACTCCAAATAGCCGCCCTCTAAGAGAGCGTTAAGCGTAGCGCTACCGGACAAGGCAAGCACAAAATCGGTCTCGCTTGAAAACGATTTGCGGGTCCCCAAACACTTCTGCAGGACCTCTCCGGTGGTCATGTGCTTATGCGCCTCAAACTCAGTACCAAAGCAACGCCAGACAACTTCTGCCCCCTCTAGCTGTCCCAGAATCACGAGCTGCCCAATCTTAACGATGTTGCATGCTTTGGCTATGTACTGTGCGCAATTTGGGTGGTCTCCTGTAATCATTATGGGCGTGATGCCTCCCTTCTCTAAATCGCGCATGGCTTTGATGGTGTCAGTTTTCAACTCGTTTCGAAAAACCATGACCCCTTAGCAATAACAAAGAATATAGAAGGCTTCAATGAGCTGCTGTTCAGAGGATCTACCTAAAAACTCCAGATCACGCTCGACCTGCCCGCGAGTTAAATCCACGACATCTTTCTCATTGGCCAAACGTTTAAAGGCCAGAGACAATACGTAAGCGCCGTTCATAGCAAAGCGTTCTGAAGTCTCTCTATATGCCATAGGAAGGGTTTCTTGTCTACAGAGCTTTTCGATTTTCTCAAATGAGCCCTTGCAGAAGACAAACAGCTCATTACTCTCATTTTTAACAATCACACTCATGCGTTGCAGTTCTTTGGAATCGGATAAGCAGGGAAACAATGTGAAAACAAGGTGTTTACCGTAATCAAAGTCAAACTTCCTTAGGACGAGCAGTGCGCCCTTCCCGGAAGGATCCCTGACGACGGAAACTTTATCTTGAAGAGTGAGGACCCATCCAGTGGACTTGAACATTTGCAGCTCAAGCTCGTTCCCAACATAGGCGGTTCCCATCTGCGCTACGGAGTGGCATGAAGCAAGCGCCTCGATTACTTTTCGATTGAGCTCTGATAATAGCACAGTCTAGAAGCACATTATCAAAGTTAACATTACAGCCCCATACTATTCGAGTCGGGGAGGAAAAGCTCGGACCCACCATTAGTTTTGCCTTCATAAAACTCTCTCGATTGGACCCCCAGAAAAGTCAAGTTTTCCATTGTGAGAGTTCCCGTTTTATCGAAGCAGAAGCATTTTATTTTTCCGCTTAAAATAAAAGTCACCCAAAACACTACAACTTTCGAGGGGAGGAAACACACCATATGGCTATACGTGAGGGGTCGAGAGTAAGAACCCCGGCCTTCTTGAGGCGCTGCGACGACCGAATCTGCCCGACCTTCAGGGCGACGGGGAGAAGAGGGGTGAGCACTTGGCTTATTGTAAAGAGGCCGAAAGCCCACTTCGTCACCCAATTTCCCTGTAGGGTCGTAAAGATAAAGATGACGTCTTTTTTTGGATATATAGTAGCACGCACGTACCCCCAGTCCGGACCAGTTCTGAAATATAACAGCCAATACAAATACAAAACAGCCGTAACAGAAGAGAATGCAGGCAACCAAGCCGAATTCCTCATCGTATTTCAAGGAAAGTCTCCGAGGCTGAAAGATAGTGGACACAAGGCCACCTGCAGGACAGACAGACAGAGTCACCAGGTCGTGTTGAGCATGGGGCTGGCATTCTTACCTTGGGAAGTGTGGATTCCCGTGCTAACGACAAGGCCCAACGCCGGCTTCTCAGTGTCAGAAGAGGACTGGAACGTGGCGGCTTCAGCAAATTAAACATAAGTTTGAGAAGAGGGAGAGACCTGAAGAACGGAAGTCCCAGCAAAGAGAGAGTAACGATTTCCATACTTCACACTTTCATAAACGACATCTTCATTAGGACACTAGAATTCTCTTAGTCCAAAAAAAAAACAGGTGGGCGCTGCAGAGACCCTACCTGCACTTTTTGAAGGGGCATACTTTCACCAGTCAGAGAGCTTTCATTGCAGATGGCTGACCCCGCCAGAAGCACGAGGTCGCAAGGCAACTTTAGCCCTGTGCTGACCAACACTATGTCGCCTGGTACGAGCTTGGTGCTTGAGACGCTGGCCCACTTGCCATCTTGCAGAACCTCACAACAGGCAAAGTTCACACACACGTGTCTTTCAAGAACAGAGCAGCGTACCTGCACTTCGGAATGGAAGTCCGTAACTTTTAAAAAGCTCTGCTGGTTCGACCGGGTTACCACGATACTAGCAACTGCACTCGAAAGAACCACGCACAGCTCGGCCGCAGCTACAAAGAGGTAGCTAAACCATAACCTTCAAAAAGGATAACCAGTAAAGCGCTCCTGGTAGAAGCCCGCCAGGCGCATACCACACGGTGTACATGACCCACTGGTAGAGATAAAACCACGTGAAAAACTCGTTTTTAATAAGAGCTGGCACGGAATCCGGGCTATAATAAATGGCGTTGGGTCCGTAGTATTGGTATCTTTCAAGAGCAGCCGCCGAAGACAGCCCCAACTTGTGCCGGTGGAAGTCGGAGTATGTTGTGCCAATGGGGACGAGAGGCGCTTCGAACTTGTCGCCCCGAAGAATATATCTCGAACCTTCGTGAATAAAGGATTGCACCGACGCTCCAGCAACCGTCACGCTGCGGGAAACCTGAACAAACGCTATGCAGATCACAAGGGAAAGGGAGGAAAGTAATACCTTCACCGTCGTGGCCCGCCCCGGAGTTCTTTTCGAGGTTAGCAACTTTGAGAGCATCCTGAAGAGCTTAACAGCCTTGAGAGAGCTTACACTCAGCAGTTCTTCCTCCTCGCGAACCCAAACCCCACACGTACTCAGCGCAGTCAAGGCTACAAGGCGTCCTGAACCAGTTTCTAATCTGACGGTAGAAATAGTTTCTTGCAAATAAGAGAGTAAAATCAATGAGTAGAACACCTCATTTTGAAAAGTCAGCCACAAGGCAAACCATGCCGTGGAAAAAAACCAAACTCCAAAGAAAACGGCTGAATTTTTTTTAAAACTTCCAAAGATAAAAAAGTCGCCGTAAAAACACAAGTCGTCGATGCTCGTAAGACTACAGTTATGATAAAAGTCCAGAAGAATAAGTATAAGTAAAGCTATCCACAATATCGAAATGCTGACTGCTAGTTTGTAGCAAAAGTCTCCAAAAAGATTACTTTTATAGCCTTTGAAGCACTTTTGAAAGCGTTTAGGTAATACGCCCTGCGCAGTGGATTTATATATATATAATAATTATTAAAGTTCTAATAAATAGTAATGATAATTAATAACAAAAGAATGTAATAAATTAAGATCTTTTTCAAGGTTTAAATATATAACTCTCAAGTAAAAACTTTAAAAAATGAAAGCTCTCTTGAGAAGTTCCATAGTTTATAAAAGATATAAAAATAAAACTTTTAACAAAAAAATATATTATATAGCTTGAATAAAACCTTAACATTGTTGTTTTCACTATTAACGTCCAGATTAATTTCATAAAATTCTTCAAATTTGACCCCAGATGTAAATGAAGGATGTGTGGTTTGGGACTCAGATCCCTTTTCACCAGATTCAACATAGTAAGGTTTAGATAATATTTCTTTAGTTTTTCTCCACACTTATTAATTATAATAATTAGTAATATATAATAATATATATAATATTATTACTCGTGAAGAAGGAGAGTAAAAGGAAGACTACGACCAAATAGGTATACAGGAGCAATAAACCTTTTGTTTAATTTAATATATAAAATTAAAAACTTTAACATTATAAAGTACTTATAAAATAAATCTAACCTGGTTCTTTAAAAGTTTTAACCCATGGAATACAATGGGGGTCTGTTTCACAGTCCTAATTAGTTATTTTTAGCAGAAAAAATAACTTTTTTTATACATTACAAAGGCGTTTTCTGAGGCTTATAAAAGTTATTTCCGCTAATTAAAAACTTACTAACGGGTTTATCTTGTAAAAATCATTGTCCGACTCCATAACTCTCGAGATTAACGCAGATCATAAGTTTGCATAGTTCAACTTTACTATTTCTTAGCAGTTCTTCAGGCTTCTTCTATATATGGTAAGTATCATATGGCGCAAGTTACGAAAGACTAATGAGATTTAAAATGGTACTGGCCGTTAATGTATGATAATTTTTGTATATTTTTGACCACTCTACGAGGTCCCGGCCTACTTATTTTTTTATTTTATTTTTTCTTTAAACTGTAAGTGACAGCAGTTTTTACTTAGAGAAAAAAATCATTTAATTTAAACGTTGAGTTTGCTTTGAACCCTCAGCGATAATGACTCTTCCATATAAGTTTTATCACAGACAGTATATTATAACTTCTGTTTGTTAGATAAACGTATTGATTTAATTCTTATTACTAGAGTAAGGTGAAGGCAACTTGTGAAACTAAGTGGTTAAACTCTAGTTAATTTAGTGTTCAGAGTTTTCCATCAGTTTTTTACTACTGCTTTCTTGTCTTGTAGCTTAACGAATCAATTATAAGGCCTCCTGCGATAATAAAGAAGTTTTACAACTATATGCTATTCTAGGAAATATTGAAAGATGCTCATATTATGTTTAGTAAGTAACAGTTTTTAAAAAATAGGACCCAAAATTAAAATACTTTAGAATAATAGTAGTATTATTAAATCGCACGCGTTTCACCCACTGTTTCCTTTACCACTACCCCCTAAAGTGGGAACTCACCTTGAGAATGAGGATACTACTAATGCATCGGAATCTAAAAAAAATAGAGTCTAAAAGATAAAATAAACAAAAGAACACAAAAAAACAAAAAAAAATTAAGAAGAAAGAAAAAGAGTGTTCATATTTTAAAAGTTAGTATTTGCTATAATTACACATTAAAAGTGACTATTGCACTATTTAAATTCTTTTACATCTTTTATTCTAACCCTCCTCTTTGCGTAGTTCTTATATTTAAACTATAGCGCCTTATTTATATTTTAAAAAAGAAAGTAGTAGAACTTTTTGTCGAACTACTTTGCTCTACATTTGAGGATTTTGATTTTTTTAAATAAGACGTTATTTTATGGTTTTACACGCTCGTTGCGCGCAAGCACATAGAAACATGTTCATAAATGTTATTAGTTTCAACATGGTATGTTTACGCAATCTTCAAATATAATATTTACTACGACGCGCAGAATTAATTTAGTAAATACGCGCATAGATAACGCATAAATAAACCAACAATATCCATAGTTAGAAACGTGCGTTTGGTTATAGATTGGCAAATCTGTTTTTACAGTGGTATTATTACCGCTCGCGCGTTTCGCACACTCTTTCCACTGCCCCCAAACGTCCTTAAGCATAAGGAAATCATTAATGCATCGAATTTTGAAAAACTCTTTTAGTAATTATTAAAGTGTTAATTTTTAAAGGTGCTAATTAGTAAAAAATGTATACTATAAAAGTATTTAAATACAAGTTAAAATATAGATGTAAAGTGTATGTAATATTAAGTAAGGTGATGTAGTAGTGTATATAATAATATATGAAAATAGTAATATAAAGCAAGGTATACTTTATTGACGGGTTTTCCGTTGAATAATCCATACCTTTACAAAAGGTCAAAAAAAGCGCTTCCATTTTTGCTAGTTCTCTTCCAATTAATAAAATGCGTCAAATTAATTTGTATGCTGTAGGAAATTAATTACTCTTTTCTTGTATTTTATTGGCTGTTTCTCAGGTATTGGTAAACCACTTACTATTTTTCCTGTGGGAATTTAGGGAGTTTGTTTTGTGTATTTCTTTAATGATTTGTGAATTATACACTTAATGTGTGTACTATTTATTTTTGTATTCTATGTTTTGTGCTTATGTTCTATGGTTCTTTTTTATATTTTTCTTTTTATATTTTCCTTTTTGAGTTTTTGCGTATTTGTGTTTGAACTGTGTTTTATTTGTTTATTTATACTCACTGTTAGATTTCCCCTGTGCCAAACAGTAGACGCCCATCATTAGAAGGCGAGGAGGAATCAATTCTACACCTTAGAGTACCCCATTTCAGTTATTAATTCTGGCTACTTGAACTTATTTATTGGTGCTTTACACACTATGATAAAGGTTTAGTCTCTATTTAATATATTATATATATATGTATAAACGGACGCTTGTTTATTCTTTCTACAGTTTTATAATTTTTAAGTTACTCTTGTTAGCTTTCGTTTTTACTAAATTAATTATATTTATAAAGACCTTTATTTTTTGTGCTGGTTTGCTTAAAATTCTAGTTATGTGCCAGAAGGATCGTCATATGTTATCTTCGGAGAGTCAAAGAATGAAGAGGCAAGAAGTTATGCGGAAAAATTTAAATTTTGGCAAAATTAGACAAGAAAATGATTTAAAAAATAATTTTAGAGTTAATATGCAGAACCTACTAGAACATTACATATTGCCGTTAACTACAAATTAGGTTATAAATTTGTTAACAAGTTGCATAGTAGCGAGAAGGGTATGGCTTAAAGAGCTGCTCCGCAACAAAGTTTTCTCAGTTCTCTTTATACGTATGATGACCACTTATTCCAAATACTTGTAAAACCGTTTTAACTTTAGGACCTCTATGTAGTTTAATACGCAATAAGAACACACCACACGGCACATATGCACCTTTCCGCTGAGACTTTATAATGGGTAAAGAGGACTAAATTTTTGGTGCTAACCCATCACAAGTGTAATGATGACCTCATATTTTATTATTTTCGTTATATCCGATATATTCTTCCTTGTTGGGAGTGAAGCACAGGGTGGTTTTTTTCTATTTACTTGTTTATCAACTACAATGAATATCTGGGGGATTTGACCTATTCACTTCACCTTTTTCCTTGCTTCTTTTTATTCAATAGTTGCTAAAGTATTATACCAGAGCATTGATGGTTATTTTAAAGTTAAATGGCGGTTTTTTTTTAATCGTAATTAAACCTTAAAATTTGCTAGCTAGAATTTAAAAGCTAAAATAAGCTGACTTAATAAAACTGTTTTTTATTTACTATTTATAAAAATTAAGTACGATACGTTTATCGTTTAATATACATCTTTTTATCCTACAATGGCAGTGGCGGCCATAATAAAGTTATCTATTAAGTTTATAGTTAACTTTTAGTATAAGGTAAACACCTACTTTTTAAAAGTTTACAGTAATCATCTAATCATAAGCAGTAAGTGTTTTCCCTTTAAAAGTAGCTTTAGCTACAGGCCTGAGGATCTTTTCAATCCGGTGGTGCTTAAATTTGCTTCTTATAGTATCGGGAATGAAGGAAACGACATCCCCAACTGTGCATTCTTCGTTCTCGTCATGACAAAAATACTTTGTCGTCCTTCTATACACCTTGAATTTATATAATATATACATTAAGTTAAACCAAGTATGCTAAGTATAGCAATATAGGAAAATCGAAACTACAAAAGTAGTCGTTTTTTACCCGGTTAAACTTTGGATGTAAGATATAGCGTTCGTGAGCAACCTTGGCAGTTTTTTGCATTTTAGTGCCAATGACGACGCCTACTAAACTTCTCTTTGTCGGTTTATTATTTTCGTTATTTATAAAAGGGGTAATATTATTTTTGACTAAACTTGAAGTTTCAAAATTATTCTTTTTAAACTTAAAATCCAAATGTAGAATCCCATCCTTTTTTAAACAAAGGGGCCCCTTCCCTACGAGCAATTTGTATAATTTCATTGGCATTAGGGATGCCACTCTCTTCCACTCTAGTAAACTGAGCCTGAGCATTGCTAAACTAACAACCTCCGCTTCACCGATTCTGTGGCCCTAAAGAAATTCCAACCACATTGGGCTACCCTAATAAAATTTACGAGGGCAAGGTATAAAAAGGGCCGAGTGGTAGAATATGCGCATGCCCTCTTGAGGGTGCGCTTCAGGTGCTCTCGAGTGCTGAGCTGCGACGCAACTCTAAATCCCATTGTGATGGCTCTACGTGTTAAACCTGTTATAATCTCTCACGCTTACGGGATCACAGACTTTACTACTTTGGCAATCCCATTCCCTTGAGTTAGTTTTTATAGTACCTCCTTTCCGTTAACCGGAGTAACACCGGTAAGTAATCCGAAGCTCGAATACCTCATTCGCTGGGGTGAAAACCCTTCAAAACATCAGTATCCAGCACACCCATCGTTTCCCGGCTTTCATACTCGAGAACGTGTTTATTCTGGTTTCCAAACTAAATATTACGTGCTAGGTGTTTAAGTTATGTATTTCCACTACAGGAAAAACTTATAATCGGTATAAGGATGGGGTTTGCTAGATGCCTTATAAACTGCGATCACTTCCATGAACTCCTCTCTGCTCAAGCAGAATAATGTTATAACTGTTTCGTTTAGTTAGCAAGCAACATTCCCACCGTTGATATGAAGATTCCCTGGCGTCAAAAGTTGCATTATATGTTTGTAACGCCGAGAGCGTGCGTTTCGCTCACAACGCAAGCAATATTTTTAAACCGCATCAGAATCTACAGTTTCTCCTGGATTTTCTCTGCGTTCCTAAGGGGTGACCGAAAAGAAATAATGTCGTTTTACATAGGGGATATAGAAGATTCCTGACGAAATCGTGGTGTCAACAATCTTAAATTTATTGATTAATAGTAACTAGACTTCGCCATTTTTGAGGGACACGTAAATCCACTAGTAAAGTTAAAAAAACACCCTTTTTAATAGTGCACGAGGAAGAAAAATTTTTGTCACTGTGTTAAAGCGCTTTGCTTTACATTTTCTTATATTTCGAATAAGCTTGGTAACTAAAGCTTAGGGAGAGGGAAGAGGAAATTTTATAAAATAATAGCTGAAGCTAAACATACAAGTTGACTATTAATAACTTGACCAACACCATTTCCCCTTTCCAATCCTAATTATTTTAGTGCCTTGGAGTATGTGTGTACGTGTGAATGTAACCACTTGACCAAGGTAAGATGTGCCACTATTTGGGTTCCCTAACCATCACGATGAGGCCCTGCGACACGTTTTTAATAATAGGGTAGAAAACAGAGCCCCAAAGACTTCCCGGCACAGTGCGTGCCCCTGTTCTTTTTAATGCTATTAGACTCCATGTAAAACTTTTAGTCAACTGCTCGTTAACCTAACACCCGCCCCCCATCACTCTTGCTGTTGCAGACGAAGGTCGCTCAGCTTTTTTTTTCCTACTGTTTAACCGCCTAGCTTCATGTGCCCGGACCATTAGAACTAATTCCACTCACGCTTACCCACTGGCTACCTATAGGGATTTACGCGCCGAAGAGCAGACTTTTTTATCACCAAAAAATGCACCCTACCTATTACTGTCGCTTATTTCTCTTTGCTCGATTGTTTATATTCAGTCAAGACATATGGCGGTTATTGACAAGAAACTGATAATGGTTAAAGTGAAGGCGGTGACCAAGTATTGCATCCTCTACTTTGTGCCAAGTGGAAACTCTGCAACTAGCAGCGCTTAGATGTACTGTGTTTCCAGTCGCTGCACGTCATATCAGGCTCGCCTAGGTGTGTGTAAAACGGTCTAATGCCAGCTGCTGGCCGGAGAGCTCACCTTCTAGTCATGGGGTGGCAGACGCTACCGCTGTCCGAGTGATGCACCTTTATTTTTGATAGAGCTAGGATAAGCGTTAGGTTAAAGGAAAAAAGTTAATTATATATAAGCCAAAACTTTGTTTTGTACACTATTAATTTATTTGATAACTCAAAATCTGTGTTTGTTGGACCGACAGGCCTTTAGTAAATAATATTAATTAATATAAAGAGGAACCATAGAGGTCACCGATTTTTTGAGCTAAAGAGATAGTCCAAAAACTTGTTTTTTTTACTCAGAGTAGTTTTATCCATATATAAATCTCTCTATTTATATTAAGCTAATAAACAAGACATTTATTAATAACTTCTTTAGTTGTGCTTATTTCAAATGTACAATATTTTTGCTTGTTCTAAACAATTTCTTTTGCATTAGGTTTCCAAATTTGGCAATCCTTTTTTGTGATTTTGTCTGTTTCAATTTATTCAGGTGAATTATTCTGCTTTACGATTTAAAAATGGGTCCTAAGTTTAACTACTTTCAGTACCTCGTTAAATTGTTATTATTATTATTATTTTTTTTATTAGTAATTTTGTTACTCAACGCATATGGGGTAGAGGTCTTTATAATACGTACTTAGGTATAGTTTATAACATAGCTTAAAAGACGTAAAGTTTTTGAGCTTCCAGCTTTATCTTTTAAGAAATCTTTTGACAACTACTATTTAGTTAGCTTACTTTGTGTTTTAAAGTTAGGAAACCTAAATTCAACCCGCCGACCGGGCTAAGGCGCAAAACTATGATGGAAAAAGGGGTTATGTACAATCGGAACTATCAAGACTATAGAACAAAAAGAAAGAAAGTAATAAAATTAAGAGGGAGTGAAGAAGGTCATTACCGAAATTCCGACAATGAGTGATTATAACAAAAGCAATGTAAAGATAACCAGTATACTATACAAGGTATTCAGGAGGTAAAATAGCGAATTAGATTTTAACGTGTTTTTCGTTCTAAAAATTAATAGTTTTTTTAAAAAAATTCCTTTTAAGCCTTCAGCCTTAAAAATGAAAGTTACTAAATTGATTATTTAAAACGGCTGTAAAGGCCTTATATGACTGTGAGAGACCCCCGCGCTTAAAGAATATCTCTAGCCCAGTTATGACCGCCGAGTAGAGCCCTTGAAGGGGCGTTGGTCGACTCACGTTTTCAGGGGAGAATAAGCCACTACTTCCAAACTGGACAGTTTTTCAATAGAAGTCGCGGGACGAAAGTTACATAGGGATGAGTCCGGGGCTTTCAGGTGAGCGTTCTTTTAGAGCTATACTTCGGGGTTCGCAATTAGTGAGTGAATCTTCCCAGCAGGATCTCGTGGATATAGGTACTTTCAATTGCTCTTTTTTTTCCCCCTGCTAGTTTGCCGTATATACTAATTAGTTATTCGTAATAACAGAAAACATTTTAGATGAACAGAATGAAAGAAGAAAAAATCAGTATCATGTACTTCGACAGTTTTTTAATATTATTTATAATCTTTAGTGTAGTTTAAGTAAATCTAGCGGGCTTGGGTTAAGATATATTTAGTTTTTAGAAAGGAGTATTTTTATTTAAAGCCCTAAAGATTATTCTTTGTAGAATTAAGCCTGCTTTTTCGATTTTTATTTACAATTGAGGCTTGCAACTACTTTGTGTACCCTCCTGCCGTTTTGTAGTAATAAAAAGCTACTGAAAAAATTAACTTCAGATATTCTTTTCGTTTAAGTTACTATAAAAAAGTTTAGACCGTTTTTCCTTTTTACTAAAAACTTAGCTTTTAATAAGTCCCCGTACTTTAGTTTTGGTAGCTATTATTAATTAATTTCTCTTCTAACGGTTCTTCACGAAATTTTTCGAGAATAACGTAGTAACTTTAATTGAGCTAAACTCTAGTAAGCAGCTAGTTTTCTAAATATACTCAGCAATAAATTAAATTATATTAAATTATAATTAGGAGGGAGTTGAGAACGATTTAAGATGCAGCAAAGAAGGCAGCGCCAGCGCTAGCAACAATACTCCTAACACCTTGAAATCACAAGGTAAAAAAATCTAAACCACATAAATTAATTGATAAAATTTTCAACTCTGAAGAACACAGGAAGCCCGCAACGAGGGTGGAGCACGGGGATTCGCAGGAAAGTTTGAGGACAGAAACCACTTCGAAGGTTCGGAAATTTTGCAAGCAAGTCGACTTGTCTAATAACTCAGAAAGGAGGATCGCCAGCGCGTGCATGGAGGCCACTCAACCACTCAGCAGGCGGGTATGACCTACTTGTTCGTCAGCCGGTTAAAAAATTTTTTTTCTATAGCTCCTCACGATTCTCACGACAATGCTAAGGTGTGCCGGGGACGCTCCTCCCAGCAGGTATACGGTTCTTCATAAGAAGATGGTGATCTCACCCCTCTCCGAACTAGAAAAAAACGGTGGGTGGGGGCGGGCTGGCCATCCTTTCTCATTTGCCAGAGCACTGCTTCAAGTCTTCCGACCAACTCCCTTATAAAGTTTTTCAACGTTATATAATGTCTTCAAGAATTAATTTTTTTTTTTCTTTTACGGAAGCAGTATAGCAATCTGCATCCGTCAGTCATCGAAGTCGGGCTTAAGCAGAACCGCTTTAAGATAGTCGGATCGAACGAGAGATGTAGATCAATGCTGCACGCCTTAAAATTGGTATTGACTCTCAAAAAGAATCTATTATTTGCACTTAAATTAGTTAAGATGATTGAGGAGTATCGCACTCCTTCCGATAAGCAATTTTCACGTGACTTGGAAGCAAGGTGTCTTCTGTAAACCGTCTTCCTCAGAATATGAGCTTATATAATTTTTTTTTCTCGGGCAGACTAAATCACCATATTGAATTTTTGGCCAACTGCCGGCTTTTGTCCTCCAATATGCGGAACGCCATTCGAGTTGTGAAGCTGATAATTTCCAACGTCAACCCGGAGATAACAGAAGACCAGGTAACGTGCCATCTTCCCACCCTACCTTCATCTTGAATTTATCGAATAGGCCCGTAAAGACGTTCTCGCGAGGATAGACTTTTTTGTAAAAACCAGGATCGAACTTGCAAGTAACTGGCTGTTATTGATTTGTAAGTGGGGTGCATTTTTAAAATATCTACTAAAAGGCAAAGAAGTTGTCCGCTACGTCAGTTCGAAGATTCAGAACGGCGATGTGATCCTCGTTTATGGCTGGTTTCTGTTTTTCATAGCGGTGCTGCTCAGGCGCTTATTTTCTTTTTTAAGCTCTACAAGTGTTTTATCGTCCTTGAAGCATTCTTCTGCGCAGGGAAAAAAGTTTCGTGTCGTTGTAGTAGACAGTCGACCCCGCTTGGAAGGTGGCTGTTGTTTTATGTTATCGTTTTTTTTTGAAGTTTTAAATAAAAATAATTCAATAGGAAAAACGCTCTTGAAAGAGTTAAAAAACAGCGGACTTGATTGCACCTACATTCTGCTCAACGCTGTATCGTATCTCCTGCGCGAGGTAGAGCATATGTGCTTTCCTTGTGAAATCTCTGCTGTAACGGGAATAAGGTCACCAAAGTTCTGCTAGGCGCCCACACCTTCTTTGCCAATGGTCACATGTTGGCACGTGTCGGATCCGCCATGATTTCCTTGCTGGCGAAGGTCCCTTTAACTTTTTTCTCCGTTTCGCTGCCAGAAAGTCTTACTTTGCCCGCCCAAAGGTGCATTCAGTGCCAGTCATAGTGTGTTGCGAGTCTTACAAATTCAGCTCCCGCGTGCAAATTGACTCGCTAGTCTATAATGAATTGAGTATAGTTTTTTTTTTGCGCCGGCAATGTGCAATTCTAACGAGACCATGTAGTAAATGAGGACTGCGTCGTCCCAATTTCCGATCCAGCCAGGCGTGAGCAGCTATCTGAAGCCCTTAAAAGTACCAAAAAACTACACACTCTCCATCTTTTGTACGATGTTACTCCTCCGGAATTGATCGACGTGTAATATTCCAGTTTAACTTTTATTTTTTTATTTTGACCGCTGCTGTCTTTCAGAATTGCAACTGAATTTGGTCTCGTGCCCACTACGTCTGTCCCCGTTATTCTAAGAGAATACGATGTTGCAAAAAAACGAAGCAAACTTTTGACTTACTAATTATTTATTTGTTATTCGTGCCTTTATGAAAGCAATAATCTTATTAAAAACATTGCGCTCGCTTATCGTGCTCTGTACGCCGCCTGCAGTGGTCATTTCTAAAGCACTCTATGCATCCCGCTTCGCAGGGACATTTCTACGGTGTGGAGGTCATTAAAGTTAAGCGCTACTTCCAATGCCGAGAACAACTTACGCTTATAAAGTCGTAAGCTTCCTCGAGAAGTTCATAGACGCGAGGGAAGGCCTCCTTGCAAAGGCCTGCGCTGCCTGCCCTACCGTCGTAGAGAAGGACGGCCCTAAATTAGTGAGTATTAAAGTTCTTGAGTACAGAAAAAAAAGGAAATTCGGGGTCAACGGAGGCAAGTTATTGGTTGGCTCGTTGGCTGACTCGTCGGGTGCAGGACAAAGAGTGGAGACGTCGGTAGAGTCGCACATGAGATACAAAGCGGTCATGAGACAGAGAGCATGTGCTGTAGTATGGGCCGCCGCTCTACAAGTAACGTAAACCTTCAGCATGACTGTGTTAAAGAAGCACATGCTGTTAGGAAACCTCCAATTATCAAAAGCTCCGCGGGCCAGTGCAGAGATGATCTCTCCGGGCAACTCAAGCCAGCTAATGCCCGAAAAGAGAAGTAGCAGTAACGCGTGGTATAAGCGCAAGATGTACAGTACATTGCACACGTGTTGTACTCGACAGTTGGTAGGTGGAGAGGAATAGTCTCTAGCACCACGTAAGAGCATTGAGGCGTTAACTTCTGGTAGTGTGTGATGGTAGTACGGATATTGACGTTTACTAGAAGCTTTTGGTGTGCGCCATGGAGGGGGTTGATGTATCCTTCCTCAATCTTAATAAGTAAGCGCAAGTCTTCTGTGGTCACATGGAAAGCAAAAACCTTGCTAAGCATCACAATCTCCGAACGGTCAACTGGCCTAGTGCAGTAGGAAACACTTTGCCTCTCTACATGCGCCTTCCGGTTGTCCCAGTCAAGATGAGAAACCAAATACTGGAAGTACACCAAGGTTAGCTGTAGACCAATAACGATCATATTCTCTCACTTGTGTGCCGCGGTGCAAGTAGACGGCGCCTGGGTGGAGGCTGTATAACGCATTAGTGAGCTCCAAACTATCAATGCCTAATGTAAAAAGTGTGAAAAATATTAATAAGGACCAAAGGACGCAAGACGGTGTATACAAGTGGTCTCGTCGGTTCCTTCCAGTAAGACCTGAGGGAAACATTAAAAAATACGAAGTACTATAGTAGGGAAAAAGCTTAATATATAAAACCTCGCAGGTATCTTCTGTAATACAACGAATGTTTACATCTTTCCAGGGTGAAGGGCGGGCAAATGTGGGGGTATAGCAATCGGCCCTATGGTAGACCAGAGGACCGCAGCTTAGTTGGACGCCATTCGGCCCAATCCTAGGTTACTCGTAAATTGGAGACCTTAATTGTGCCCTTAAGTTCTACCAACCCATCACGCAAAAGCTGTATAGTCTTTTCGAAGTACTGAATGCCGAATAAGTCTTGGTCTAATGCACCATGGAGGGATAGTTCATGTGCAGCGCAAAGCTAAAAAGGGCAAGTCAATGTTTTATTCAGGTGAGCTGGGGTTGGCACTACCAAGTGCTGCCATAAAATATGTTTATTGAAAGGATTGACGACTGCTCTTTCCACTGGTGGCTTAAATAATATAGCCGGTTTCTGTTGAATGTAAATACTATAAAGACAAGGCAAAAGACAGCCAGAAAAAACAAACTTGGGCGATATAATTATCAATGGGGCTCGGCAGTTTAGCTATGAAGATTGCCAAGGACGGATGGCCATTTCTACCAGCTCGACCTGATAAAACAATAACGTAATCACTAATAGCTGAAGCCCAGTCTACGAGAATGGCTGGGGTAACCTGCCTGCTGGAGGAAACTAGCTTTGCTACCAGGATAACCAAGCTGAATAGTAACGTCTAGGAAGCCCAAGTCGATGCCAAGCTCGAGAGCTGAACTAGCAAGGGTGGTCAAGGAGCATGAGATCCACAAATTGGGATGACTTACCATTGGTGCAAACTACGCCGAGAAGAGAGCCATCGAATAATGTGCTTTCAATATTTCGTCGAACTGCCGCCGGATAACCCCCGCGGTACGAGGAGATACAGCTGGCCAAGTGAGGAAAAGGGCCAGTTCTGACAATGCACGCCCCCCCGTTTTTCTATTTAAAGGATTGTCAGGCGCTGGTGTGCTGATAGGATGGATATCCAACACTCACAGAGAGATAAAGGTCAAGACCGCAGAGTATAATTTTCTGAGCGTAGCTGTAAACAAGCTCACAGGCGCTACGTGACTTGCAGAATACCATTGTTCTATGGTTTTGAGAAACCTAGAAACAGTGCAGCGTCATTTTACCTCCAACTGAAACCAAATGTACTAATAAAGTTTACGCATTCAATAAGTAACAAGGCAGCATCCAGCTCGGCCGGCCTGCTTACAGAGATCTCTGCTATATCCCCTTATAGATTAATGATTAGCAAGTAAAAAAGATAACTAAATTTCTTCTTAGAAAAAAAGACCGGATTCTCTCAATTCTGAACGTTTCGTAGGGCCTGACCTCCAAAACATATAGTACTTGGCTCCCTATGGAAAATTAGTACAAATATATACCGTCAGGAAAAAAAAGGTTAATATACAGAAGGGGAGGTGTCTTCTTGAATTAATGTCGGTGGATGGGTGCAATGAATCAGCTGCATGAAGTGCTCTACTGGATTCGCGATGGTGGCTGAGCACACGATAAACTGCGGCTGACTGCCGCCGTAGTGGCAGCACAAGCGAACCTGAAATGAGCAGGTTAACCTTTAGGACTGAGAAGACTTGTATTAGAAAACCAGGCGTCGAAGTATCATGGCCATGTGCGAGCCAAACACGCCTCTGTAGGTGTGGGCCTCATCTATCACCACGTGCTTGAGGGTCCGGAAAAATCTCTCCCATTTTACGTGGCCGGGTAGCATGGAGAAGTGAAGCATATCAGGATTAGTTAACACCACGTGGGCATCCCTCTGAATAGGACCTTCGGGTCAGTCGTCAGATTGACCGGCATTTGTGTAATAAACATGTGCAACAAAGAGACCACGTGACTCTTGGGGAACGTCCCCGTCATATGTAAAGCACTTAACATGCAACAAAGCTTCCGTTCCGCCGCGCAAAAAGTTTCTTAAAGATCTAAGCTGATCCTGCGCGAGTGCTTTAGTGGGATATAAATAAATTGCACTGCTGGCTGGATCTTTTAATATAGCCTTTTTCATTAACAAAAAATAACACTGTCTTATATCGGCATTATTATAAGCACCTGCATAACGGAAATATTATAAACGAGGGACTTTCCACTAGAAGTAGACGTGCAGACGGCCACATTCCGACCTTCTAGTGAGGCGTTGATCGCCTTAATCTACTTAAATATATAGTAAGAATAAAACCTGTGAGAAGCAGAGGAACAGAAACCTCTTTCTACACTTATATGTGCCGTCTAAATATAAAGGAGAAGACTGCAAAACTAAAAAACAGATTTTAAAACTACAATGATTTTTGGAAAAAACTAATTATTCTCCCTCATTTCCTCTTAAACCTAATTTAGAAAGTAAAAGCTTCGACTCTCAAATAGGCTTAGATAATAATAATGGCCATAATGTGACCCAAAGGCCCTAATTAAATATTGAAGACAAGTCAAAAGTATTTTTTTGCTAGCAATTAGGGTGAAAAATAATGGCAAGTACCTGATGTAGGTACAAACGAGATATCTTACTGTTTAGAAGGGCCACTTGAAGAGGATAAGCTAACGGAACTGTAAAAACCTCAGAAACTATAATTTTCTAACAGCAAAAAAAATAAGCTTTCTTCTCGGTTGGGTAGTTATAAGCAAGCATATAAGAAATAGTTTTAATGATAACTAAAGCAAAAAAATAAAAATAGAGGACCCGTAAAAGGAAGGTTCGGTCCAAAAATAGCTTCTTTTTTTTATGATATAAAACTTCTGAGATTTCATTACAGTAATATGGAAGAGTACATATGTAGCTGACAAGTTCATTTATCTTACAACCACTTACCAACGGAACACTATAGTTGTGTATGCCAATGATATTGTATTTATTATTCTTGTTACTACTGTGTTTGTTGCCGTTGTTATTATTATTATCGTTATTATTATGATTAATAATAGGTGTAGTAGAGGCTGTGGTTGTTGTTGTTATAATAGGAATATCAGTGCCAAACTCGTTACTGCTTAACTTGTCTTTATCTTCGCTGGCGCAAGAAAGAGTAATGTTTTCTAAGTCTCTTTTATAATTAACTACACGCTTTTGAAATAAAGCGATATACTTCTGCATTGTCCTCTTAGTGATTTTTCTAGTCCTTATGGTCGCTTTACTTTTCATGATAATTTCTGGATCATCTTGAGATCCCCTAAAAAGATAAATAGAAAAATATATTACTTACCTTATAAATAATAATAATTGTTCAAAAATATAAAATTTAGATGGTGACCGAAGTTCGATTAAATCAGGGGCGATTTGACAGATTTCTAACTTTTGTATAAATATAAGTTACACCTCTCCAAAATTCGTATAAAAAGAATGTATATTAATATGTGAGCAATAAACAAAACCAAGGTGCTCTTTTCTAGAAGAATATTACAAAGGTTCAGCACAAAAGGTTTGCTCCTTTCCAAAGTGCACACTTTACCTCTTGAAAGGTAAATGGACCAAGAAATTAACATCGCAGAGTAGATGTTAACAAACAATTCTTGTGCAGGCAGAAGTGGTTTGTCCTTCATTACCTACACGCTACAGGATTATTTTCTTCCTCAATAAATGGGTTAAAAAATTAAAAAATTAATGGAATCACCGTGAAATATATACTAAACGATCTTTGTCGGAGTGATAATTAGGCTAAGAGGTATTATGACTACTGTTCGGCTAACAGCTTCAATAAGTAAAATTTAAAAGTGTTTTTTTAATTGTATAAACTATACACCCTTTTGCTAATACTTTTAATTAGTTAATAATTTTAAAATCCCACCGAAAAAAGATTGAAATGCTACTGGATCCTGAAATAAAATTGTTGTTTGCGAGGATCACGTGCGCCTCGGAGAGCATGCTAGTAGAATAAAACAGAAAAAAGAATGGGGTGACTTTATTTATTTATATATTTAAGAATGACAGTTCCTGGAGCTCTGTCAGGTTAAAACTTCGAATACTCGAGCTCTCAATCAGGACTGCTCGCAGATATATTACAAATAGCATTCAGGGTGTTCATTGTTTTTTTACATTAACAAAAAAAATAAAAACTAGCTCTTAAGCTCGTCACATGGGCGACGATAACGTTCTCCATCCTATGGCTCTTAAATATGCTCTCTCCTTCAGCAGGCTATTAGCGCGCCTGGCTAGCCTTTTGAAGGACATTAGCGTTACGTTGAGAGGTGACGTATAAAGGGTATAGCTGCAGGTCCCCGGTGAAGAGCTTCATTTCGCACAAATCACATTTGTTCTGTCGCAATTAAAGTGCCGACGCTATTGCAGTGGAGTCGTAGGTCCAAGAAGCAGAAGCGTGCGTCATTATTGGCTGGTTGTAAGACAAATACAAGTGCCGTTTGTTTCGCAGAGAAAGCTTACTCTTGCCGCCTAGTAAAGGGTAAAGCACCTTAATTGCTGCCTTGACCTTCGCCGCTAGATAGTCTACATGCGGCTTCTAGGAAAGTTTGTTGTCAATAATGACTCCCAAGTATTTCGCTTGAGGACACCACGGAATCTTCGCGCCATCAAAGGTAAAGGGCGCCCACAAGGGGATGCGTTTCTTAGTAATTAAAAGCGCTTTACTCTTCATTGCATTTAAGGAAACTTTCTCATGACGGAATCAGTCAGCAAGGGCATTAGGATAGCGCTGTAGATGCTTGCATAGCAAGGCGGGAGGCTTCGACGACGAAAAACGACCGTATCATCGGCGTAGAGGGTAATTCGTGATGGCAAGGGGAACCTCCTTCATATAAATTGCAAATAAAAGGGGCGACGAAAGGGAGCCCTGAGGGGCCCCTGCTGTCAGATATCGCAGCGGAAATTGCGTTATCTCCCAATTTCCCACGTGCACGATGAAGCGATCATTTCAGATATGATTTCAACACGTTATAAAGGCCATGAGGAACGGATAACGAGCGCAGTTTGTGCAGCAGACCTTCATGTCAAACTTGATCAAATGCCTCTTCAACTTCAAGAAGGACAGCGCCTGTTGCCTTCTTTAAGTCAAAAACGCGAGTGATCCATTCAGTTAAGCGGAGGAGTCGCTGGGTTGTTGAGCGCCCTTGCCGAAATCCAAACTGAAGCCCTCCGATAAAACTTTCCGAATTGTCAACGACCTCCTTTAGACGGCGCAGTAAAACGGCCTCACACACTTTGCCGACCGCTGATAAGAGGCTCGGTACTTGCTAGATATTGATTCAGGTTTAAGTGTCTAGCACAATTCAACGGTCGCCATCTTCCATTGAATCGGAAAGGTGCCAAAGAGCATCGAAGATTTTATAAGGAGGTAAAGATAATGCATCCCTATTTATGGCATTTTTTTCTGCATCTTATTAGTGATGCCATCGGGGTCAGGTGCTTTTCGTTTAGGTAGCGCTTCAACAATTGCTTGCACCTCGTCAACATTAATTAGATTAAGTGGTTCGTAGTTATCGGGGAAGGGTAAACTCAGCTGAGAGAACGCATCATCATTAGCAGTATAGTGAGTAGCCAGCAAGTTTTGGATAGCAAGAACATTGGCGATAAGCGTAGCTTTACCTCCATTACTCTCAGCTACTATATCCTTCACGAAGAGGGGGAAGTGGTGCAAGCCTCCGACTGATATATGATGCAGTTTGCTCTCCCATTTATTGTTAAAATGGACCATTAGCTTTTTTCTAATGCACCCGTGAAGTCGATTAAGCGCTGAGCCAACATGGCTACTTGAATAAGACGTCGACTATGAGAGATAAGTGCCTTTAGTAAGTCAGGAGCGATCAAGGCGGTAAGTTACTTCGCGAGTGGTCGTGGAAGTAGTGTGAGCTATGTTCAGTTCGGTTTCGAAAAGGGCAACAGCGCCATCCAGCAGGGCGGACATGAACGCTAAGGACGGACATGGAGGCAGCATAGGGGGTTTCTAATACATCAGCGTATTTGTCCCGGTCGGTAAAAATACGGGTAATGAACTTTGGTGTGTCCTTTTCATCCCCTAAATCGACAATGGGAGGTGATCAGTTTACAGTTCATGAAGCGCTTCAGTTGCCGTAGAGAGACGTATGGCAATATACAGTACGTCCATTGTGTCGCCAAGTGCGTTGGTTGCTGGGGACCTAGCACGCGCAGTTGACTTTATTTTGGGTTTGTATCGCTTTTGTACATAATATTTATGAAATTTTTGAAAATCAAAAATGTTTTTCTAAAGGTCATAGAGTGGCAAGGCATAAATTTGCCTTTCCTTAATTGACACGAAAATTCTTGTGGTTTTTCTGCTTAAAAATTATCATTACCTTGAGGTATGGATAAACATGTTAGGGTATTTAAACCTTTATTGGCCGGTATCTAAACTTTTAAGCCCTTTAAAATTAACTGTAAACAAATGTATATATATATAGAGATGTACAGATGTGACTAAAACAGAAAAAAGCACTAAAAAATTAACACGACCCGGTTTATTTTTCGTGAACCTTCATTATATACTAACAGCTAAGCAATGAATTAATCAATAATAGTCATAAAATTGCCTGAAAATGGTAATTTGCGTTAAAACTTATGAACTGGGATCTTTTCCTCAACAAAACATGCAATAAGTACTGGTGGCTATCTTCTTTAAAACTTAAAAAACGACTAAAATCAATGTTATTTTTTTTAACTTAAATGATGGTATATATCGAAACAACTTTATATATTTAAATAAATTTAAATCACTTGTGCCGTCAGTTCTGAACTAATTTTTTTAAAAGCCCTAAGTGAAAATTTTGTCCTTTAAAATTTTCTTTGTAGTTTTCGGTAACACACTGTAAAAACGTTTGAGGCGTTAACATTAGGCCACCTACCATCTTTACTTACTTTTTAAGACATGTATTTTCTTTTACAGGAGTTTATGTATAACATATTACTATATTCTTATTCTCTTTGTCATTTCGTTTAACATTTAAGTTCCTGTCTTTGGTATAGTGTAGGTATCCTAAGCTCCTTAGTTATCGCTAAGGTAAAAATCTCCCAAGTAATGTAGTAAAGGGCAATAACCTGTCTTATACGTCATCCATATAGTACAGAAACTGCATAATTATATAGAATCCCGTGTTTACTTCATTCTTTTCTGTAGAAGGGTGTAAGATAACTTGTGTAGGGCAGAAGGCTTAAATTTCT